ATGGGAATTGGGAGCCAATTACTGAATTTCGGTTTTGCGGGTTCCTTATCGGGTTCGTGGTTTCACCGAAACCGTTACAACACCTTTCGGGTTGGAATTAGAAAACCCGAAGCCATCACTTTCCTTGTCGGTTTGGGTTTGGTTTAAACCGAAAACCCGAAATCGAACTCCCACCCCTACTTCTGATAATGAGTTCGTCGATGCTTTGGAGAATCAAGGGATTAGAGCACGACAGATGAGGGTTCATGCCACTAAAGATGCAACTGGTGAAGCTGTGGAGCAGGAATCTGTAACTGATTATGAGCAGACCGAACAGGATGTTCCCTCACAAGCTATGGGAGGTGAAGATGAAGAAACTGAAGCTATCCCACATGTACAGACAGAACAAGGTGGAAACCAAACTCAACCCGAAGCTGAAGATATACCACATGAAAGGGCAGAACAAGTGGGAAACTGAACTCTACCCGGATAAGAATATGGAGGTTCGGTTGACTCACGACATGTTCGTGGGAATCTAGACGAAGAGCCAGCTGATCCTATTTATGACGGTCCCCACTACGACCCCAGATGTGAACATTCTACACTAAAGTTTACGGTGGGAATGAGCTTCAATTCCCTGGAGCAGTTCAAAGAGGCAGTGGAGGAGCATTCCATCTCAATCGGAGCCGATATCAAGTGGACAAGAAGTGACAAGAATAAGAAGCGAGCTGAATGTCGCCAGAAGTGTGGGTGGTATATCTACGCTAGTTGGCATGCTCGTTCTTTGTTTATGGTGAAGAATCTTGGGAAGGATCACAGTTGTCCTAGGACTGTCCGAAGCGGGTTGCAAATGCAACTTGGGTGGCTAAGAAGTACATTGAACGTTTTCTAAGGGAGCCTGATTGGAAGGTAAAGAATATGATGTTGGAGCTGAGGCAAACACATAATGTTATAATTTCGAGGAGGCAATGCTATAGGGCGAGAACATATGCCAAGCGGATGTTAGGAGGGTCGTTGATAGAGGAGTATAACAAGATTAGGAGGTACGTTGGCGCTTTGAAAGAGCGGGATAGAGACGATACCTTTATTCTAGAGGTTGACCCGTCTAATGTGCCCTATCGAGTGTTTTTCAAGAGGTTGTACATTGGTTTTAGTGGGCTGCGAAGGGGTTTCACTAGGGGCTGCCGACCAATGTTTGCTTTGGATGGGTGCTTTCTTAAAGGTGAGGTTAAAGGGATGCTTTTGAGTGCTAATGGTAAAGATGGAGACAACAGGATCGCCTCTGTCCTAGGATAGAGAAGAGGATTAGAAAGGGTGTGGATTTGGCCAAGATGTGTCAAGTGATTCCAGGCTTCGACGAAAAGTTTGAAGTTTCCATTGACCTTAAGGGGTACGTGTTGGACTTGGCCGGACATACATGCAGTTGTGGTTCGTGGGGATTGACTGGAATTCCATGTGTACATGCAATTGCTTGCCTTCAATGGGCTAGGATAGAGCCAAGTGAAGTCGTGTCTCCTTACTACACTGTTGGGTCATACAAGATGGCATATGAATTTGGTATTCCTACCATTGAAGGCCAGCAAGCTTGGCCAGAATCAGTAGGCTATCCAATTTATCCTCCTAAATTCAAGGTCTTACCTGGACGTCCGAAGAAGCAACGGAGGAAAACACCAGGGGAAATTGAGACAGTTCGACATGGCGGTGATGGATCTGCTATGAGGAAGAGACGGTCTGTAATGCATTGTAAGAAGTGCAATGCTCCTGACCACAATGTGATGAATTGTCTGGTTCTTCGGGCAGAACGGGTAAGTTTGGTGTTGTATGTGTTTGGATAAATTGTGCAATTTGTAACCATCGTGTCATATAAAATGTGTTTGGATAAATGTGCAGAATTTGGAAGGAGGAGAAGGAAGTAGGAACGTTGAAGGTCCAAGGGGTGCTACTGGTGGTGGTGGAAGGGATGATCAAAGGAGGCAGGAGAGGGATGGAGGGGCTGCTACTGGTGGAGGGAGGGATGTTCGAAGGAGGCAGGAGAGGGATGGAGGGGATGCTTCAAATGAGTAAGGTCAACCCTCGGCAGTGAAAAGAAGACCAGGGTTATGTTCAAAGTGTAGGAAAGCATACATCAATCGTGTTGTCACTAGTAGACGTGCTCAAGATAGAGAAGTTAGGATGGTAAGTTCTTCGTTCCATTGTACTCGACAACTTAACAATGTTAGCGGTATAGTAACTCATTTCAATTATTTGCAGGCCAACCAAGGAATTGGTGTGTTGCACACAGATTTAGGAAACACGTATGTGATACTAAATGGTCCAGCTAGACCGGGAAGGGTGTTGAGAAGTGGCAGGCCTTACGACAATCTTGGTACCAGGTCAATGCCTACGGTGATTGCTGAAGGAGGATCACAGCCACCAGCGACACAGCCGACCCAGCAGCAGTAGGAAAGTGGTCGTAGATTATGGATATTATGGATATTATCTTTATTTTAGGCAAATATGGTTGCCTTATATCCTGCGGAAATCATGTAAGATTCTCAAACATTGGATTAATTTTGGAAAACTAGACAATGGCAGCCTTTGTAACTGACCAACACAATTATGTATGTGTATAGTTCAGACTATGATATTGATCATCTTATGTCGAACAATTTCAGGATGTTTCAATGGTATGTTTGTAAGATGACGCTATCGTTGTTTACTTACTGTCAGAATCTTATCATAAAGACAAGGGAATTCCTCAACGTCAGATTCAATAACATACAGAAACGTGATTGTTTGCCAACATCGTAAATAAACTCGAGCCATAAGTTACAGAATAGATGTGCATTTGCAGACTTCATATCAGTCCTGCAATGGCAATGCCTACAAGCAGTCCTACGAAAAGGAACAAAACAAACAAGAAACGAGCATTGGCCAACTTCAGTTCCCCTACCAGCCTAGTGTTTTCCTCCCTAATGCTAACTAAATCATCAAACAAACATTTTTTAGCCTGCTTCCTTCGCTCAGCTTTCTCTTCAGCAAGTTTCAAGCTCGCCTTCAAGCTCGTAACATGAATCTCCATTGAAGCATACTTCGTCCTAATGTCTTCATCATCTGCCACAATCACATTGGAGCTAGGTGTTTCCTCTTCAACATTACGCTGATCCACCCAACGCCAGAATAGATAATTTTTTGAAGGCTCCTGACAAATAAATCAAGATGAAGTGAGCTGTTCTTTGCGAATAAAATCCCCCAACTAAACAAATAATGCCTAAATTACCTTCCAATATGGGCAACAGAAGAATCCCCTCCACGGATTGAGTTCTGTCCATGAAACATAAGACTTTGCTGGTATATTATGCCCACACTTCACGATTCGAGAGTTGGAAGAATTGGAGTCACAAGTGCTTTGGCCGAATCTCCTTCCCGACATGTTTCAATTGATGCCACAAAAACCCATTCATTATGGAGAATGAGAACCAAATTCATCAAACCCTAAAACAACCCAACATATATACTCACCTGGTTTCCTAGACAATTTTTTCTGAAGCACGTCGTCGCACCACTATCCTCGCCGCAATGAATACCAAAGTCACTACGAACTGGCGCCGCTCCGCGTTACTGAAACCCAACGTCGTCGCCACTCCGACGCTTCAAAGCTATCGCAGTCTCTTCTCTGCCCTCTGCTCGCGCCGACCCAGCTCTCGCAAAGAAGAAGTTTGAAAAATAGAGGAGGAGCTACAAAGAAGATGAAGAGGGTTAAAAGGTAGGGTCTTTTTTATTTTAAATCAGAATGGTAAATTTTTTTTACAAATCTGACGTGTTTGCCTATGTGTCGTCTATGTGGCCAACAGGAGTGTGCCACGCAAGCTTCGGAAGATGACCTAACGGCCGTCTGTCTGGTCAACCGTTACTTTTAACGGTCAACGAAACTGTCAGAATACAGATGACACAAAACTACTAAACATTGGGACACAATTGTCATATCGAATACTTTAGGACACAAATGACACAAAGTTAATAGTTCTGCCAAAATACTATAATTAAATTATTTTTAGAGGTCAATAACATCTATCTCTATATCATGATTCTACAGGGAATTAGTGAGGCGTACGATAAAAGAACTTTAATGTCAAATAATAATATTATTATCTTATTGGGTATGCCTACTATGACATGCATGTCACCGTGACATGGACTTTTCGGTCGACCTAATCCTGAAGGTGGTCGACCGATTTGACTAATTTGGGCAACACGAGAAAGCATTGCGGTCGACCTCAACGACCACCTGGTCGACCGCACTTAGTTTAAGTTGTTATTTTCGGTGGAAATCACGCATTAGAGAAGATGACGACGAATGCTACATTAGGTCGACCTCACCTTAGACGTCGTCGACCACTTTCGACACGTATAACAGCAACCGCGAACAATCTTCTTCACAAAGGCTCTAAATCGAAAAAAACCTAATTCAGACTTTTGGTGGCGTTGAAGGGGACTTATATTTGTATTTATAGAGATTTAGGACGTGAATGGGTCGACCCAATTCGTTTTCTTGTCCAATTGTGGAACCTTTCTGCTGTTGGAATCCTTATCCAATACAGATACGGTGTGCATGCGGTCGACCTGATAGGTGCACAAAAGTCTGCCTATGAGGTATTTGGGTCGACCTTTCATTCTGTTATACCACAAAAGAGGTCGACCATTTTATGTAGACGGTCGACCGCGTCTCTGAACCTCACATAACTGAATTTGTCAATTCGGTCGACCGCCTTATGGATTAGGTCGACCGAAAAATCCATGTCACGATGACATGCATGTCACCGTAGCAAAATCCTATCTTATTTTATATATAATTGATATTGTTGTTTATGTCGAAGAGAAATAACTTTGGGGAAAGGATATAAAAATACAAGTTTGAACTTATATAATTACCATAATCAAATTCCAACCGGCCGGCCAAAATCCAGTACATAATAAGTCTATTCAATCTCTTCCCGGGCTAAAACACAAGCCGTAACTAAGCTGCAACAACATCATCATCATCATCCCTGAGAAAGCACCCTGGGCCGCCAATATCCAGCACTCTCCAAGCTGTAGGCACAGATGAAAGGAATGTGATCCACAAGCGGGCGGGAAGTCCCATCCCCCTGAATCTGGTTCACAAGACTCTCCGCCATATCATAAAGCTGCAGCTCCTTGAGTTTGCTCAACCTATCAATCCCTTCAGGTACCTGCTCCATCGCTTTACATCTCCTTATCACCAGACTCTGCAGCCTCCACATGCTCCTGCTCTCAATCACTACCTGCTCGAGGAACTCGAGGTCCTCCACTTCCAGCACCTTCAGATTCTGAAACTTGCCAGAACTGAAAACTAGCTGCTTCCCTTTGTAAGCATCCACCAGCTGAATCTCTATCAAATTGGGCAGATCCTCGAGGACCTCGAGCGGGTTCTCTTCCAGCTTCGACCATCTCAGCCCGATCCTCACCAGGTCGTGCAACGACGGAATCCAAACTGGAACCTTTTGTAGCTTCCCCTTCAGATACAGCCGCTGAAGCAGCTTCGGCGGGTCGCGTAGCGCGTTCATATCCAACACCTCGTCTCTCGCAGCGGCCACGTCTAGCGTTTGCAGGCTCTGCATCTCTTCAATTGAGTAACAAAGATGCCTCCCGTCGTCTTCTCTCAGCTCGACGATCCCCAATTTTTTCAGATTCGTCAGGTTTTTCAGGGCCACCAACATCTTGATGTCTCTGTTTGCCTTCACGCACATGAGCTTTTGTAAACATACCAACTTGGCTATGCTCGCAGAAGCTCTGAACCCTTGGACGCTGTCGATGGAGACGTGAATCCTTATGCTGTAGTGATAAATCAGCAAGTGCCTCAGTTTCCTGAGCCTGAAGATCTTCCCGGGGACCGAGGTCACGAATGTCTGCTTCAGATCGAGGGTTTCCAGATTCTGAAGCTTGGCAATCGACCTGGGAAGTCTCCTGATGCTTGTATTCCTCAAGCTCAAGTACCTGAGGAGGATCAAATTGAGAATCGCAGTTGGGAATTTATCCAGAGGAGCTCCTTCCAGATCAAGAACTTTCAAAATGCTGAAGCTCGAGAGTATCGATTGCGATCTCGAGTATGACAAATCTTCCAATCCGAACACGAAGAACGATCTAGCGCAAGGAAAGCTCGTCCCTTTTAAGCTCGCTCTGCTTCGGCGGATGGACAATCGGCGGACTTTCTCGTTCACCCCTGCTTCCGACGACCCTGTAGAGAAGACCCGGCAGAAATTCTCCTCCTGAGAAATGGAAACGATGATCTTGTGGAGGAGGCGATGAACGCGACAAGTTTTGGGCCGGCCGTCGAAGTCGATATCGTTCACCAGGACGAGATTCCTCTGTATAAGCTCTTCCAGGTAATTGTACCCGACTTCTTCAGGAGTCTTCCCGATCTCTTCCTTCACCAGACCTTCGGAAATCCACATCCGAATCAACCTCCTCCTCTGAATCGAGTAATGCTCAGGAAAAACGCTGAAGTAGAGCACACAGTACTTCAAGTAGTAAGGCAGATCGGAGTAGCTCGCAGAGAGCACCCTGGTAATGCTCGAAAGCCTGCCGACGTTCTCCATCTCCGATCCCAGGCTGTCGTGGAGCTGCCTCCAGGCGTCGGCGGTCTGATCGATTTTCGACACAACTTTCCCGATCGTCACGATCCCTAGAGGCCATCCTTCGCACTGCGTCAGGAATTTCCTCGCCCAGTCCAGCAATCCTGACGGACACTCCCCTGTTGACGGAAAAGCCTTCTTGAAAAATAGCTCCTGAGATTTCGACGAGGTCAACGGCTGCAGACTGTGCACGGCAGTCGACTGATCGTAGCTGCAGAAATGGGCAATGTCGCCGCGCCTCGAGGTGATCATGATCCTGGAATGATTCTCGGTAGGCAGAGCGCATTTGATCGATTCCCAGAGGTCTCTGCTCCACAGATCGTCGAAGACGAGAACATAATTCCTGTCCCTGAGAAACAGGGCCAATTTCTCCATCAATTGGACAAGGTTGATCGTGTGGAATTCGGGGGGAATCGGCAGGTTCCTCGACTCGAACAGCCGCTTCAGCATCGTCCAAAGCGCCTGCTCTTTGCTCTGCGACCTGGAAACCTGAATCCAACCCCAGCAGTCGAACTCTCTCTTGGTCGATTCATACACTTGCTTCGCCAATAGGGTCTTCCCCAACCCGCCCATTCCCACAACGAACCGAACCTTTAGCCTGGGCTCGCCGAACTTGGTCCAGGCCGTCAGCTCGGCCAGGGACCGCTCGATCCCGAGCGGCTCTGTTTCGAACAGGGGAGCCACCCGATTAAAATGGGTGGTGAAGCTCTCCACGGTGGCGAGGTGCGGGGCCTGGGAGGGTCCGAGCTGTCGGTAGCGCTCCCTAATCTGACGGACGGTGGCGAGCTTGGCGTTGATGCCCTCGATCACGACGGCGACGGAGTGTCGCTTCTTGATCTGGAGGAACTCCGGGTAGAGCTGGAAGCGGGAGGCGGTGTGGAAGGTGAACATGTCGAGGGCGTCTTCGATGTCGTAGGCGAGGTCGCGGACTTGGGCGACCCAGACGCGGACTTGCTCGTTGGTCTCGCCCCTGGCGTCGGCCTCTTTGAGGAAGGCCTGGATGGTCTGGAACTCGCGGCGGAGATCTTCCACGGCCCGGTCGATTCCGGCCAGCAGGCCGTACTCTCGGGAGACGAGGGATTCCATCTTGCTGAGCAGGAAGGTTACAGCTCCGTACGCCGCCATCTCGCCCGGGGAATTTTGACTTTGAAAGAAGGGTAGGCGATGATCGGGTGCTGGGATTTGCAGGAGTTTAATTTGTCTGTTATGAAATGGCGGGGAGATTTGATTTACTTATTGTTGTCTGCAGTTTGCGCGGGTAGTTGATTGAAGAAAGGGAAGGAATCAGCTTCGTCGACTTTTCCAAGCGCTGACTGACTTTAGATTATTAACAGAGCCGACCAACTACTTGTACTTGTGCTCGAGTCCACTCTGAGGGAAGGCAATGATTGGTTGGCATTTCTCAGGCTACGTGGTAAGGTTTGGTTTGCACTCCTCTTGACAATTTCAGTAGTTAGGGGCTGCATTTTTGCATATTAATTTCCGAAGAATGGCTGCCTGCCTGGTTGAAGAAACGGAAGTTTCGCGTTGTCGACTTCGTAAAGCGTTGACTGTGCAATTTCTTCTCCAGGGTGAAATCCATGGAAACTGCATAAATTTATACTTTTGCTATGATTCTTTTGTGCAGATGTCACCCTCCCGTCTATCACCCATCTCAGTACTATTTTCGTCCAATTTTCTTCTATTAAAAGAACAATTAGAAGATTACTATTATTTAGAGTCACATCACATGGGGTGATGATTTTGTAATTGATCAAAGGTTGGAGAAGTTTTATGTCATTAAGGTTCTAAACAATTAAGTTTATGTCATTAAGGTTCTAAACAATTAATTTTATGCTATTAAAATTCTAACAATTAACTTATGACAATTGAATCCTAATTGAACCCAAATCAATGGGTATTCGACCTAATTCGACATATTTAAAGCGAGTTGAACTCAGTTTTTACAAATTTTGAGTCGACAACGAGTTTTACACTCTTAAATCAATGGGTTGAACGCTTAAATCAATAGAGTGAGTTGAACTCTGTATTAACGAATTTTGGGTTGAGCATGTTTTTTTGTCTTTCCTTCGCTTATATATAACGATTACGGTCGTTTTATTATTTTCTTTTGTCTCCTCCTTGCAAATGGTTTTTTACCAGTTTTTTTGTTCTTGCGTAGGACTTGAAATGATTTTGGAGACTTTAGGGGGTTAGATCTTTCAGTCGCGATCATGAACTCTTTAAAAGAACAAGTTTTGAGTTACTATTTGGTAGAGTCACATCAATTAGGATTAATTTATTGTTTACTTTTCATTAATTAATCAAATGTTTTAATTATTACTTGATAGTTGAACTCAAATTCATGTGTATTCAACCTAATTCGACCCGGTCTCGGTGTTGCCAAATTTTGGGTCGCGAACGAATTTTACCCATCTTTTAAATATTTTCTCTTATGACAATTGAATCCAAACTCATGTGTGTTCAAGCTAATACGAGCCGGTGTCGATGTATCCAAAATTTGGGTCGAGAACGAATTTTACCCACTTTTATCTTCTATTAAAAGAACAAATAGAAGGTTACTATTACTTAGAGTCTCGTCAAAAGGGGTGATGATTTTGTAATTGACCAAGTGTTGGAGGAGTTTCATGTCATTAAGGTTCTAAACAATTAAATTTATGCTATTAAGAATCCTAATTGAACCCAAATCAATGGGTATTTGACCTAATTTGACATGGTTAAAGCGAGTTGAATTCAGTTTTTACATATTTTGGGTCGACAACGAGTTATACACTCTTAACTCAATGGGTTGAACCCGGGTAAGCGAGTTTTATACGCTTAAATCAATAGAGTGAGTTGAACTCAGTATTAACGAATTTTGGGTTGAGCACGTTTTTTGTCTTTTCCTTCGCTTATAGATCATGATTACGGTCGTTTTACTACCTTTTTTTTCTCCACCTTGCAAATGGTTTTTACCGGTTTTTTATTGTTGTGTCGGACTTGAAATGATTTTGAAGACTTTAGGGGGTTAGATCTTTTAGTCACGATCATGAACTCTTTTAAGGAATAAGTTTTGGGGTACTATTTGGTAGAGTCACATTAACTAGGATTACTTTGTTGTTTACTTTTCTTTAATTAATCAAATGTTTTAATTATTTCTTGATAGTTGAACTCAAATTCATGTGTATTCAACCTATTTCGATCTGATCTCGGTGTTGTCGAATTTTGGGACGGGAACGAATTTTACCCATCTTTTAAATATTTCCTCTTATGACATTTCAATCCAAACTCATGTGTGTTCAAGCTAATTCGAGTCGGTGTCGATGTATCCGAAATTTGGGTCGAGAATGAATTTTACCCGCGTTGTTCTTTTCTTCTATTAAAAGAACAAGTAGAAGGTTACTATTACTTAGAGTCACATCACAAGGGATGATGATTTTGTAATTGACCAAAGGTTGGAGGAGTATTATGTCATTAAGGTTCTAAACAATTAATTTTATGCTATTAAGATTCTAACAATTACCTTATGACAATTTGAATCCTAATTGAACCCAAATCAATGGGTATTCGACCTTATTCAACATGGTTAAAGCGAGTTGAACTCAGTTCTTACAAATTTTGGGTCGACAGCGAGTTCTACACTCTTAAATCAATGGGCTGAACCCGGCTAAGTTTTATACGCTTAAATCAATAGAGTGAGTTGAACTCGGTAGTAACGAATTTTGGGTTGAGCACGTTTTTTTGCCTTTCCTTCGCTTATAGATCACGGTTACGATCGTTTTACTACTTTTTTTGTCTCCACCTTGCAAATGGTTTTTTAACGGGTTTTTTTGTTGTTGTATCGGACTTGAAATGATTTTGGAGACTTTACGGGGATAGATCTTTTAGTCGTGATCATGAACTCTTTAAAAGAAAAGTTTTGGGTTACTATTTGGTAGAGTCAGATCAAATACTGTTTACTTTTCTTTAATTAATCAAATGTTTTAATTATTTCTTAATAGTTTAACTGAAATTCAGGTGTATTCAACCTAATTCGACCCGGTATCGGTGTTGTCGAATTTTGCGTCGGGAAAGAAGTTTACCCATCTCTTAGATATTTCCTCATATGACAATTGAATTCAAACTCATGTGTGTTCAAGGTAATTCGAGCCGGTGTCGATGTATCTGAAATTTGGGTCGAGAACGGATTTTACCCGCTTTATTCTTTTCTTCTATTAAAAGAACAAGTAGAAGGTTACTATTATAGTATTACTTAGAGTCACATCACAAGGGGTGATGATTTTGTAGTTGACCAAAGGTTGGAGGAGTTTTATGTCATTAAGGTTCTAAACAATTAATTTATGCTATTAAGATTCTAACAATTACCCTATGACAATTGAATCCTAATTGAACCCGAATCAATGGGTGTAAAATCGGGATTTTACGTAAAATTGAAAATGGGGGTAAAATTGAAATCGTAAAGTCGAAGAATTTTAAAGGTCCATATAAAAAATGAAGAAAAAATAACATTAATAAGGAAAATCATGAATAACACAAAAACTCATAACACTTACAATAATAATTTCTCATGATTAATGATTCAATTTATCAAGGTTAATGTTTATGCCTGGAAAGTACCGGGCGGTTTGTTAAGCTCACTGACTCCGTGCGGTCTTGGGAGGATGAGGGGCGACCTTCGAAGTCCTGCAACAAAGGTCCTCAGGGGAGCCCTGGGACCTCCTCCGATGCCTAAGTTAGTGAGAGAAGTAGGTAGAATGAAATAGAGAGAGAATGGGGTAGATAGGAGTTACCATAAATGTGATCCGTTGTTGGGTATTTATACTAGTTGGGTCAAGGAGTGAGGACAAGCTACGTTATGTCGGGCGGTCTGACGCTGTGTCGGGCGGTCCTCGACCGCCTCTGACTTCTCATAAATGCCTGGTCAGATCCGTACTTTGCTCAGTATCCGTACCTTGTTGTCAGGATGTTGACTATATCTTCTGTCGGGCGTCCTGCTTTGTTTCCGTTGTATGCTAAGCGGTCTTATTAGGTACGACCCATAGACCGCCTCCTATTTCTCTGGATTGGGCTTGCTTGCTTTATTGGGCCTTTTTAGTGGTCATGGGCTCAGAGGCCCAAATGTTTTAATGATTGTCCCAACAGTTAATGTTGACAAGTTGTGAATTGGTGATGATTAATACGTTGATGTGAATTAATGATGTCAATAGTAGTTAGTGTTTGTGCCTAGTAGATACTAGGCGGTTTGTGGAGCTGTAGCAAGGCGACTTTTTCTGGATAAAAGGGGGCACTCCAGATACTCTGCAAAACAAGGGTCCGGGGCGGTCGCTCGGGACACTCTCCGAAGCTTAAGTTAGAGAGAGAAAGGGAGGAAAGATGAATTGACGATAGAAAGATGAGTAGTAATTGAGTTTACCATTAATGCACTCACTCTGTATTTATAACTGGTTCAAGGGTGGTTGAGTCATTAAATGCCATGTCAGGCGCCTTGAGCCGTGTCAGGCGCCCTGAGCAGGCTTTTAGCCTTTCTGCAGGCCGCCTGTGCCCGGCAATAAATGCTTAGTCTTACCTGACACATCAGGCGTATCTCAACAGATCTTTACTTTTCTGTGTTGGCCAGTTGCTTTATGTCAGGTGCCCCTGGCTATTTTCGGGCCTACGTTGGTCAAGGACCGCCCGCTGACCCGGTCTTTCCTGTCGGACCAGGCTTCCTTATTGGGCCTTGTCCATTGATTTATTCTTCTTGGGCCCGCGGCCCAAATACGCTCAACTACGCGGCCCAACAATTGCCCTTTATGAGGGAAAAGCCTAGGGTTTTGGCGGCTACAAATAATGTTTTTAGCTAGTTGAGCGGTTCACGCCTCCTTCTCAGCCTGCTCTGCCCCTGGTCGCCAAAGACCTGGGGTTGACCCGCCTGAGTCGTACTTCGACCGCCCTGCGGGGTTTCCTGGATGGATACGCATCGCACACGTGGCGCGGCTTGGTTTCCGAGCTCTGACAACGTGTAGGCGAAACGTCCTTTCACCTGCCCGTTTTTTTGAATTTGCGGACGAGGGCTCTGCCTCGGGCACCCAACCGTCACATCGTCTTCTTTTCTTCGCTATATATACCCTGACCTCTTCTTTGTGTAGCCATTCTATCATTAGCAT